GTATTCTAGCAACTGCAATCCGTACATTAGGCAAGATTAGACGGCAAGAAGCAAGCCGATGGGGAGCAGATCGTCAGCTAGAATGCATCTTCGGGGCCAAGGGGAAACGCTGTGAGCGGGCAATACGGCAACAAACAGCAGTAGGTGAAGCAGCACAAGCTATAGGAACATCAGCAGCACCGGCATTAATCGACATGGAGAAACGCTACGAAAAGATCCCTCATGATGTTCTATGGCAAGCGTGTGTCAAGCACATATTTAATCTTCGCCGCATTCGACTGCTGTTGAAAGTGCATGGTGGGCCTCGGCGCATCAAGATTAGAGAGAGCGCGCCAGAAGCTGCGCAGATCACTCGGTCTATCATAGCAGGCTGCACGTTCGCAGCCACTTTGCTGAGAGCAGTGCTACATGAATCACTGGTATACATGAAAGAGAACTGGGCCTCCTTGGGGCTCTATGTCATGGTTGACGACAGCACGATTGAAGCGATGGGGTTGGGGTCCATGCAGTTTGTCGAATGCACACTCTCAGCAGCCGTGCCACAATTATGTTCCAGGCTGGAGGCCATGGGAATTGTGGTGTCTCGCAAGAAGTGCCAGATTGTTGTCCCCTGCCGCAAGCTGACCGACAGACTCCAGAGAGCCTTTGCCAAGTATCGCTTCAGGGCCTTCGACTCGGCCAAGAGCTTGGGGCACGAGTTCGGCAGGCAGGTTCGGAGGAAGAACGCTGTCCTTCGGAAACGAGTTTTGGGAGTTCGGGGGCGGGCCAATCGCTTCAGGTCTCTGAAACATCATAGGAAGGGGCTCGCCAGGGTCTTTCGTGGAGGTGGAATCGCGGCGGCCACGCATGGGGTCAGAGTCCTCGGGATGAGCGGTTCAGGGCTCTCGGACCTTCGGGCGGTAGCTGGGCATGCGATGTTCGGGAAAGCGAAAGGGGGATCTCGGGCAATGCAATATTTACTCACCGACCCTCCCGATCTCGACCCCTCCCACCTCATCAACACCCTCCCGCTCGTGACTTGGCTGCTGGCGATACACCAGCAGTGGATCGCAGATAACATGGCACAGACTATTTTTCGCGCGGCAGCTGCAGCAGCTCATCGTGGATGGGCATCGGTCTCGGGACCAGCAGGTGCAGTGGTGCAGACTCCCAGAAGGTTAGGCTGGACTGTAGTTGACTACGCACATTGGAGGGGCCCCCAGGGCTTGCACGTGGACCTCAAGGGCATGGGGACTCGCACGCTCAAGGCACTGATACACCGCACGGCTAGACATCAACAGGAACAGCAAGCAGCGAAACACATGGGCTGGGATAACAATCCTTACCTCGAGCCTGTACTCAGCGAGCTGCGCAGCATGAGAGGGAGGGGGGGGAACATCCAAGCTGATTTAGTGATCGCGCACTGTTCTGGAGGCATCTGGACGCAGCCGAAGCTCTTTCAGGAGAGATATGAGCTCAGCCCGACATGCCGATGGTGTCAGCAAGCACCAGGCTCTGTAGGGCATGTGACGGACCCGCTGCTTGGCGGCGAGAGCAAGATTTCGGCGAGTTGCACTCCGTCTACCATGAGGCAGGAGATTGTCCACTCACGGAGTATGGGGTGACTTCGAGCAAGCGTGATGATTTGCCACTTCCTCTCCAGGGCTCTGAAGCTGGATATGTTTGGAGACCCGCTGCCTCAGGACATCTTGGGGCTGAAATCTTCATCGACGGTTCTGGACTCGACCCGACGGTAGAATGGAGGACCCGTTCAGGATGGGCCGCTGTTTCCCTGGCCCCTGGGCCCGAGGAAGAGGCATCTGCCGTTGTATATGGGCCTGTCCCTGGACCCGTCCAATCAGCAGGCCTGGCTGAACTTTATTCCTTTTACATGTGCTTATGCCTCACGGGCACGGCGGCGACTGTGATAACTGACCACCTCAATTTGGTCAAGGGCTTGGACAAAGGGCCTGAAATCACGTGCGACCCGCCCCAATCATATTTTGAGATTTGGAGGCTTATTTTCTGGAAGCTCGAGGATACCGGCCGTGAAAATATCGATTTGGTTTGGATGCCATCCCATCGTTCTCGGGCCTGGCTCTGTAATCGGGGGTATCCAGATCGGCGGTGTCCTGGCAATGCTATGGCCGACAAGTATGCTCGATTAGGGGCCGTTCGACATCCCAGGAGCCCGCACCTTCAGGACCGTTTGACGTTTGAAGTGGGCTGAGGAGCACGCCAGGCAGTTCACTCGGCTACTCGGAGGCACTCTGTATCAACTGGGCCGCGTCGGGTTCCCTGATGTAGCTAAGTTTAGGAAGCCAGAAAGCTTGGCCCCTCAGAAAGTGGGGACAGATCTCGTTTGTACCTTAGTCCTGGTGAAGGGTGACAATGGGCACCTAGTGCATCGTGAAGGGGACCTCTGGGGGTGTAGGACTTGTGGTCTGTCGTCGGCCCGTCGGGTTCGAATTGCGAGTCTTCCATGCCCAGGGGTCCCCAAAATTGCGAGTAGGTCTCACGAATCCCACAGATTGTGGGTAGCGGGTGACACGTTCTACTTCAACGTGTGCGGCGCGTACGGGACGGGTCAGACCAAAGGACTGGCCGCCCGCTGCCCGCCGACAGGACCTGGGGCGCGGGGTTGCAGGGCTCTCAAGCAGCTCAAGGCAGGGACCAATCCGACAACGAAGGAGATTGTTGGACGGCCGTTCCCTGTGCACTGACCCCCCCCCCAGGAATACATACCCTGTCAGGCGCTCTTGCGGTCCGCTGCGGGAGTGACTTGTCCGAGGCGCCAGAGGCTCCAAGGAGGAGGAGGAGGAGGAGGAGGAGGAGGAGGAGGAGGAGGAGGAGGAAGAGGAGGAGGAGCAGGAGGAGGAGGAGGAGGCGCGCGGCTCAGGAGCGCGAGAAGGCGGAGTGGCTGGAGAGGAGGAGGAGTAGGAGGAGGAGGAGGAGGAGGAGGAGAAACAAGTTGAGGAGGAGGAGGAGGAGGAGGAACGACCGATGTGGCTTGCGAAAGCGGTCATGGTCTGAGTCCTTTTACTATCATCATTGTTGTTCTCACCATCGTGCTTACGATGTATGGAATCACAAGTCGCATTATGAATGTGATCCGTACCATGAGTTGCAGCTCCCTTATGTTCCCTCTGAATGTGTGTGTGCTTGTTATTTTTATTGTGTGTGTGCCATCTGTTTTATCATTCGTTTCCCTATTGTGTTCGTATGGCTGTGCTTGCTCGGGAAGGTTGTCTGCGGGTTGAGAACCACGCCGTCTTGTTGGTATCGGTCCGTTCCAGGGACTCCATGGCTCAAGTTGTTTCTGGCCATGCAAGTGCCCTTTGCCTTCTCTCTCGAGCCCGCGTGCGGGATCAGTATAGGGCTGACGCTCCAGGGTGGCACCTTGACGTGCCACGAGAGCTCGCCAGTCTTCTCCTGCCAGCCGCCACTTCGGCCGCCTGCGCGTGTGGTTCACCCTCGCCGCTGGCGTTCGCAGGGACAGCGGTGCTGCTGCAGGTGCTGCTCATCAGGGCCTACCTGTTGGGAGCGCTGGGGGGCCTCCCGACCCGTGAGGTGATCGCTACCCGGCCTCGCGAGGCGTGCTTCTGAGGAGTCGGAGTTCAGCTTCGAGGGGCGGGCTCCGTCGCAGCTGAACTTCGCGCGGGGCCGAGCGGCGGCAGGACGGAGGGATGGCGGCGTTCCGCGCGGTTGATTTCTTCCTGGTGAGGTATCGGAGCGTGCCTGGTCCAGCAGTGTATCACGCTCGTCTGGTGCTGGCCGTGCGCGACGGGACTGACGATGCGCACGGGCTCACGCCAGATCTCGACCGCTACGAGGAGACGTCCCAACTGGCCGCCCGCTTCTGTAAGGTGATTGTGCTGTCGCACGCCCAGTCCGTTCTTGCGGGGATCGCTGCTGCCGACATTTACTGTTTCAGAGCGGCGCCGCCCCAGGCAGTCGTCGACGCGTGCGCCATGCTGGGCGCCCACGTGCTGGGCGCTCACGTGCTGGGCGTAGAGTGCGTTCCGCTGCCGCTGGTGTCCAATTTCGACCAGGCATCCAGCGCCGCCGGGGCAGGCGCGGCGGTTGGCGCCGCGGGCGGAGCAAGCCCTGCGGCGGGCGCGGCGCCCCCCGCGGCGGCGGGCGGGCCGCTGGTGGCGCCTGGCGCTCCAGCCTCAAGGGCGCGCAAGAATTTATTCGCATCGGGGACGAAAATATTGCGTAATGTACGGGGGGATCGTGGCTTCGGGGGCGCGAACGCAATGTAATTTACAAGGGATCGTGGCCTCGGAGGCGCGAATTTGGTGTAATTAAAAGGGTCCGTGGCTTCGGGGGCGCGAGCGCGGTGTAATTTACCAGGGAGGCGCAAGTGCAGCGCACGCAATTCTCTGGGATCGTGGCTACAGAGGGGCGAACGTAGTGTAAATCATGGGGTATCGTGGCTTCGGGAGCGCGAGCACAGAGTGTTTTACGAAGGATCGTAGCTTCGGGGGCGCGAACGTGGCGCAATGTGCAAGGGATCGTGGCCTCGGGGGCGCGAATACAATGTAATGTTCGATGGGTTCTTGCGTCGGGGGCGCGAACCTCATGTATTTTTGCATGCCCCACGGCCCCGCAGGACTTAGACAACACGACTCGGGGGTGGTAACTGGGTTTTTTTTGTCGGCCCCCCCCCCCTCGCGCAGACTTCAACCATTTACAATGGGAAACAAAAAACAGGATTGTAACATTGGAAGCTGGAAACTGGAGCTGGCGCAGGAAGCAGCAAGCCTAAGCCTCGCAGCCTCATGGCCCCACAAGGGAGCCGGCGGATCCGACATGAATCTCGCTACGTCATTCGTATTGTTTCTGTTCGTAGTATCAGTACGATTCTCGCTGGTCTCCGAGGCGTTCCATGGGTGGCTGCGCGGGTGTCAATTGGCTCGCCTTATGTTGTCATGGCGAGGAGGAGGAGGAGGAGGAGGAGGAGGAGGAGGACGACGAGGAGGAGGAGCGCCCCTACGCGATCGGCGTACCGCGGCGAGGCACACTGGACGGTCCGGGAGCTCAGGGACGCGATCGCGCGCGCCGACGGCCGCGCGTGCGTGCGCCGCCGCCGCCGCTGGATTTGTGACCGCGGCCGCGCGGCCGTGCCCGTGGCCGGGCAGGGGGCGAGCCAGGAGAGAGGAGGCCCAGAGAAAGGAAGCCCGGGCATGTTCGTGCCACGAAAGAGAATCTCGACGCGACGTTTTTGGCTTGTTTGGGGGTTCTGCGAGCAGTCGCCGGGCCCCAAGACCGTCATAAAACGAGCCGGGATCAAAAATCAGCCCTGGAGGAAGGCGGGCGGGGGGTCGCCCGGGCAGTCCTCGGCCCGCCAGGAGCAGGAGGAGGAGGAGGAGGAGGAGGAGGAGGACGACGAGCACGAGGACGAGGAGGAGGAGGAGGAAGAGGAGGAAGAGGAGAAGGAGGAGGAGGAGGAAGCGGGCCTGGAGGAGGATGAGGAGGAAGAGACGGAGCAGGAGGAGGAAAAGGAGAAGGAGAAGGAGGGGGACCTGAAAGTTTGGCCTTAGACCAGGGGATGTTGCCGGGCCAGACCTCATGCGTGTGCTTCTTGCGACGCGCCGCAGCTACCTGTGCGTTAACGCCCTCCTTGGCTGACCACGGCGGGATCACGCGAGCGCGTTGGGCATCGCAGAGCGCGTCCTCTTCGTTCACAGGCGCGCACCCTCGCGCGCGCTCACCAGGCCTACACAGGCTACAACCGCACCGTTCACGCCCCTCGCCCGACGAGAGCGAGAGGCCACCGGCCCGCGCGCGCGTCCTCTGCGCGCGCGCGAGGCACGCCCGCCGCGCAGCTGCGCCTCTCCGTGGCGGGGCGCCCGCTGCGCAGCGGCGACAGCCTCCACCAGGCGGGCGCGGCGGGGCGCCCGGCGTCCGTCCGCCCCCCGCCTCCAGTCGGCGGCCACGCCTCAGGGGGGGAAGTCTTGGGAAGTTCCGGGCTCGAGGATCGAAGTCTTCGGGGGTTTTCGCTGGTTCCAGGCGGAAGGGGCCCCTTGGGGCAAAAGGCGCGACAGGTGCAAATGTCTCCCCCCTCGCTTATCACCCCACTGCAAGCAACGCCCAACCTCCAGGGTTTGAGTTTGGAGGTTTTTGTTGGCAGTTTTCGGCGGTTCTCCAGCTTCGGGATGCGTTCCAGCGGCTGCGCCACAGGCGCCCAAGGTCGTCCAGAAAAGCCGCCGGCAACCCGAGTTATGACCCGAACACCGAATTCCGCTGCGCCGCGCCGAACGTGAGAGGGGGGCTGGCCATCTCAGAAGGCGGCGGGGCTTCTCAGATGCCCTCTGGCCTTCTGAGAACCAGGAGGGAAAAAACACACAGACGCAAGTAATCGTCGATTCCCCGGAAAATATTGGAAAATCTGGGAAGTGGGGGAATGACAAAAACCCAGAACATATGGGAAAGCATGGGGAATCCTGTTATTTGTATGTATTTATTTGTGTGTCCAAGGGCCCCTTCAGAGAAGCCGCCTCTGTCTTCGGAGAGGGCCCAGAAGCCTTCAGAGCGTTCTGAACAGGCCCACCCCCTCTGACTTCCCCCCTGGCATCGCCGTCGATCCAGGGTCGGAGGCTCGAGGCTCGAGGGCGTTCTTTTTCGTCGTCTCTCGAGGTCCTCGGACTTTTGATCGACCTGGAGTGCCCTCGAGGCCGAAGGCAGCGTCCTCGACGTTTGATCGTCGTGGAGCGTCCTGTTGATCGTCCTGGAGTGCCCTTTCGATCGTCCTGGAGCGTCCTTTTGATCGTCCTGGAGCTGGGTCCGCGTCGGAATTTTGGGCAAAAGGCAAGCCCGGAGAGGTCCAGGGGCGGAGGGGGGGAGGGTAGGTAGGCTCGGGCGCGCGGGCGCCCGCTCCCTCCCCTGGGAGTGGCGCACAGCCAGTAAACAGGGGGAGCGAAAGAAGGTTCACCGTTTGTGCACCTTCGGGGCCCCCAACGGGGCGCCTTGGGGACGCTTCTCGCCCCTTCCCCGCTCATCGCCCCCCCCAATACGAGCAACGCCCAACCTCCAGGGTTCGAGGTTCGAGGTTTTCGGGGATGTTCGAGGCGTGTCGGCCGGTTCCTAGCCTCGGGACGCGCTCCAGGAGTTGCGCCTCCTCGAGAGCGTTCTGGGGGTGCCCGGATCGTCCCTAAGGAACCTATGCTACGATTGGAGCAACGTCAGGGCTGGATAAGTTCAGGATGGGACGCATCCACCCCCGATCGCCCACTGATCGCCGACAGGGTCCTGATAGCTGACCCCGAATCATAGTGTGGGGCCCATCGACGATCCATCGGCGATACATCGCCGATCACAGGGCGGTGTCTACCCCCTGAGCTGGTTTCCCCTATCGTTCCCCCTCCCCCATCTCGAAGAGCCAGAAGTCAAGAAAAGCAAGTATCTGCAACAACAACCACGTAAGCATGCACAGACAACTACGCGGACCCCGTCTGGGAGGCCTCTGTCAATATCACCCATGTTTTATTGAGTTTATCGTTTGTGTATGCAGTGTCAGTTGGATTGTTTATTTGCACAGTTTACGATTATTGTTGTACCGCTGCCGTTTGATGTTCTGGGGCCCCTGAGTCACAGGAAAAGGTTGCGTATCCTTTACCAGAGTATCAAGATAATCGAATCATTTACCCACCCGAGACAAACTTAGTGTGCTGCCATCGGTTGAGATTGGTAGCGGAGCCGGAGATCCATACCTATCTCCGGCTTCCCCGTCGCCGCCGCCATGCCCGCCGGCGAAGCGCCGCCCCGCGGACCGGCGAAGCCGCCAGGTCCGCCGCCGGCGAAGCCGCCGGGCACCCCGCCGCCTGCCGCCGCTGCCGCTTCGGCCGCCAGCGGCGTGGACCCTGCTGCCGCGACCACCCGAGTCCCCGGCAGCGAAGGCGACGAGGCCGCCTACGCTGAGGAGTGGGCTGGCTGGACAGGCGGAGGCTGGTGGCGCCAGGAAAGCTCGGCCTGGGACGGGGGAAGAGGCCTTGACGCAGGCCTGTCCAAGACGGCACCGAGCTACGAGTTGCTGGAGACCGACGGCTACAGAGCTTTCAGACGCAAGCTGGAGGTCTTCGAGAGATGCTGCCGCAAGCGCGGCACGACCGCCATCAGCGAGGGGGCTTTCCTGGTCATGAACTCGCTGCAAGGAGAGGCGGCAGAGGCTACGGAGGAAATGCACCTGGACCTGCTGGAGACAGACGACGCCTTCAGGCCGCTGTTCAAGGTCCTGGACGAGTACTACAAGTACGACAACCAGACTGAGTTGCCAGCCCGGACAAATCAGTTTTTCGGCAGGTTCGCCCGCCAGGACAAGGAGCCGATGAAGTTGTATTGCCTGCGCCATCGGCGCGACCTCAGGAAGCTGAAGGAAGTAGGCATGGAGATCCCAGACATGCTGGCGGGCTGGCACCTCCTCACGAGAGCGGCGATCCCGCCATCGGGTGCCGCCCAGGTTCGGAGTCAGTGCGTAGACGGCCTCAGCTGGCGAAAGGTGATGAAAGCTCTACTCGACACGTACGGAGCCGAAGGTCCGCCCGACAAGCGCGATATCAAACGAGTTGAGAAGATGCTGCTCGGACAGAACGCCAAGGACGATGCTCATTACACGAACGACTACGAGTGGGAGCGAGGCCTAAGCTACGAAAACACGTACCTGGAGGAGGAAGAGTACGAGGACGAAGACGAGTACGAGTACGAGGACGCAGACGAGGAGGCCGAGATCGCAGAGGAGTTGCCGCAGGACGTCGAGGACGCTCAGCTCGCGTGCGACGAGGCCTACCTGAGTTTCGTGGATGCAAAGAAGCGCGTGGCTGAGATCGCGACGTCCCCAGGCTTTTGCCCGATCGTCGCCGCGGCGCCGGACAACAACTACCAGCGTGAGGCGCGACCCGCTCGAGCACCAGGCAAAGGCAAGGGACGCGGGCGCGGAAAAGGCAACGGCAAAGGCAAAGGCAAAGGATCAAGTCAGCCACGACGAGATCCCCCAGCGTTCAAGTTCCCGAAGGCCCCGTTCGCCCGCCCTCAGGCTGCGTCGAGCGCGGGATCGACCGGGACAGGCTCGACGCAGCAGCATGGCCCGAGGTTCACGAGGTTTCGTCGCGGCGGGTTCGCCAGGACGGAGACCGAGTCAGGCAACGTGGTCGAAGACATCGAGACGCTGGAGCACGCGAATTCGGCTGAGGAGGTGTTCCTGCTGACCGTCTGCAAGGGCATCAGTGACGGAGGCGCAGCGCGGCCCGTCATGGGCGACAACGTCTGGGCGCAGTGGGAGGAGCTGCTGCGCGTGAAGCAGTTGCCGCACGAGGTCAAGTATGACCAGAGCGACCGACGGTTGAGGTTCGGAGACGGGAAGACGCTGGAAGCTAAGAAGGCAGTGACGTTGACGGCGTGGCCGTTCGGCGTCGAGAAACAGGTCACCATCGACCTCGTCGAGGGGCGGGCGCCGCTGCTCATCGCCAGGCCCTGCATGGAGGAGTGGGGTCTCATCCAGGACTACCGGGCAGGTGCGTTCACGATGAAGGATTTCCCCGACAAGGGCTGGATGAAGTCCGAGCGCGACGAGAAGGGCCACTTCATCATCGATCTGCTGGGCAGCGCCGGGGGGGAAGCGGACGACGCCATGAACGAGGGCGCCCCCACGGACGGCGAGGAAAGCAGCGACGATTCGACGGACAAGGACTCGAAGGGGAGCTCGGTGAAGGGCGCGACCGACGAGGGCAGCGACTCGTCGGTGCCAGATGCCGATGCCTACTACCTCGAGACCGCCACGGAGTTTTACGACATCGGCAGCGACGACGAGGCGCTGACGACCGAGGAGCTCGCGGAAGCGGGGCTCACCGACATGGACGCGGACACCTACTCAGACCTGATCTTAGCCCTGGAGCAAGCGGAGACCGACATGAAGGATACGCTCAGAGGACCCCGCGAACGCGTGGTCTGGGAGGTCTTCGTGGACAAAGGGGCTTTGTCGGAGGAGCTGCTGGAGTTCCCGCAGGTCAAGGTGGTCCAGTTCAGGCAAGCCGACGGCTGGGACTTTTCCAAGCCCAGCGTGATTCGCTGCTTCTTAAGTAAGATCGACGAGGAGAAGCCCGACGACATCTTCTTCGCAAGCCCGCGCAGGATCTGGCGCTCTAGGCAGTATGTCAACGAGAAGCTTTCGGAGGAGCCCGCGAAGGAGATCAACCTCACCAGACAGCGAGAGGAGAGGGCGTTTCTCAAGATGGTTCGGGATTCGTTTGCGAAGCAGCGGAACGGTGGACGTCATGCGTATGTAGAAGGCCCGTGGCAAGGGCTACACTGGCAAACCACGACCTGGCAGAAGCTACCTGGATACCACTGCCGGCTCGACCAGCGCAGGCTGGGCGCGAAGTCCGAGATCAAGAGCAAGCTTATGCCGTGCCACAAGCCTACGCGACCCCAGTCCACGAACAAGGAGTTCATACACCACATGAACATGCAGTGCCGCTGCACCGAGGAGCACGTGGTCTTACGCGGCAAGCTTGCCCGCAGGCTCAGAATTACCCGAGACCGATGGCGCGAAGGATGGCCCACTTGATCGCCCATCAGGGCATGGCCGACGACATCGAGGATATCAACACCGCCGATGAGGTTTCCAAGGATACCGACGCCATCGAGTACACCGACGTGATGCAAGAGCTGATGAAGCGTTTCAGCGCGTCGACGATCAGGGCGGTCAAGCGCGCTCATATCAGCCTGGGCCACCCCTCCAACGCGGCGTCCGCAATCGCCATGCAGCACGCGAAGGCCCCGGCAGAGTTGGATTCAGCGCGCCAAGCTCTTCCAGCGCGAAGTTTGCCTGAGCAGGTAGCGACCTCGAGCAGCGCGCGTAGCTGTACTACCGAAAGCTAAACGGTTCAACGAGGTCGTGAACACCGACGTCTACTACGTCACCTGGAAGAACAAGGAGCGAAAGATCTTGGTCCTGATGGGCGAGTTCACGCGCTACGAAGTGGATTACCCGATCGCGAAGGAGACATCCAAGAAGGAGGTGAAGCTGTTTCAGAAGTTGTGGATCAGCTGGGCTGGCAAGCCCGACACCACGAGGATGGACATGGCAGGCTCGCGCACGTCAAGAAGGATGCACAAGTGGATGAGCAAGCATAACATCACACTCGACCTGATCCCGAAGGGCGCGCGCCACAAGCTTGGGCCCATGGAGCGAAACCATGCGGCCAGGAGGGAGCAGCTCAGCAAATACCACCTGCAGTTTCCCGACGGCTCGCTCAAGACCGCGCTCAGGATGACCGCCAGCCAGCGGAACATCTCACGCAACGTGCACGGGCATTCGCCCGCGACGCTGGTGCTGGGCACACAGCCCAAGGTACCTGGCGCTCTATGCGACGAGGACGTCGGCCTGGCGGAGCAGGCCGCGCTGGTCGACCCCAAGAGCGAGGTGCACGAAATGATAGTCAGGCGCGCTGCAGCAGGGACGGCTTTCATCGAGGCCAACTGCTCTCGCGCCGTGCGAGCTGCGCTGTTGGCGCGCAGCAGGCCGACGCGCCGCGAGTACCAAATCGGCGAGTGGGTATGCTTCTGGCGACCCGAGATGTCGACGGGCCTGGAGAAGTGCCATTGGCATGGCCCGGCGCCGGTGGCGGCGGTGGAGTCGAAGGTCAACGAGGACGACGTGATGCACACGTCGGTGGCGTGGGTCACGCACGGGCGCACGATCTACCGCTGCACGGTGGAGCAGCTCCGCCCCGAGCTGTCGAGCGAGACCCGAGAGCGAGAAGGACGACGCGAGGATCCCGACAGCCCGCTCAACACCATCGAGGAGCTCAGAAGGGCGCTCAGGCGGACCAAGGGAACCTGCAGCTTCAGTGACCTCGCCGAGGGGGGCCAGCGGCCCCAGTACGACGACACCCTGGACGACGCGGGCGCGCAGCAGCCCGGCGTCCAGGGACACCGCGATGGAGATCGAGCTGAACAAGAACGAGAGGAGCCGAGTGGGGCGGCTGCCGCGGCAGCTCCCGAGGCCCCCCAGCCAGCCGAGGCTGGCGAGGAGGCGGCTCCAGACCCTGCACCTTCGTGGGCCAGCGCTGCGCGGGAGCGTGGCAACGCGACGAGGGAGCCGAGCAGAGTCCACATCGAGGCGATGGCCAAGAGGAGCATCGAGGAGGCTGAGAAGCTGGACGGCATCCCATTGGCAAAACGCGCCCGCATGTCGTGGGCCAGGCTCGCGCCTCAGCAGGAGGAGTCGCGTCTCATCGAGGAGGTGGGCGACGAGATGATGCTGTTGGAGGAATCCACCGAGATGGTTTACATGCTGGCTTTCAAGAGGAAGGTGCCCGCCATCGTGGAGGGGGAGCTCACATCCGAGGAGCGGGAGCAGTTCTACGCGGCGAAACTGGAGGCCCTCGAAGTGTTCAACAAGAGCGACGGCTGGGAGCCCATCGACGAGGCGGAGGTGGACCCAGCGGCGCGCTGCCCGCTACGCTTTCTGCTGAAGTGGAAGGTGAAGGACGGGCAGCGAGTGGCCAACGCGCGAGTGCTCTACCAGGGTTTCAAGCACCGCGACGTCGCCGAGGGCCAGCTCGACAAGGAGGCGCCCACGTTGAGCAGGCTCGGCCGGCACGCGGTCATGCTCTGGGCGGCCTTGAGGAAGTGGAGGCTGTTCGCTGCGGATGCGAAGTCCGCGTTCTTGCAGGCCGAGGACGTCAGCGCTCACGGCATCAAGCTGTACGCGAGCCCGACGAAGGAGATGAGGGAGATTCTTGTACACCAGATCGGCCTGCAACCAGGACAGTTGCTCAAGATGATCGAGCCGTGCTTTGGGGACCCGCGGTCGCCCAAGCTCTGGCACTACCGCTCCGACGAAGTCACGAGGGAGATCGGGTTCAAGAACCACTGGCTCGAGGATTGCTTGCTGCTGTCCTTGCGGGCCGCGCGACCCTCGGACGACCCGTCCGACGTGTGCAGCTTCGACGGCCAGACGCTCGTGGTGGACGGGCTGATCGGCAAGCACGTGGACGACTTCATCGGCTGCGGCGAGAACGTGAGTTGCGAGGATGACCTGCACGCCAAGCTGGACGATGCCGAGTGCTTCCAGGCGCGGCTGGGCACGCTCAACGAGAAGTTCAAGTTTGGCAAGTGGGAGTTCGGGCCGAGTCTAAGTCTTCACCGGCGGCGAGGTAGAGGAGCCCCTGAGCACCTACGCGGCCATCATCAAGTTCGTAAAATACATGCACGCGGCGAAGCCGATCACCGTGGAGAAGCACCGGCGGGCGGATCCCACCAGTGCGCTGTCGCCGAAGGAGCTCACCAGTTTCAGGACCCTGAACGGCCAGTTGCAGTGGCCGGCAGCCCAGGGAGTTATCATCGCGGGGGCGACCGTATTGTTCAGAGCCGCGGCGACTGGACACGCGACGGTGCAGGACTTGCTGGACGCGAACAAGGATTTACGGCTCCTGAAGGCCAACGCGGACGTGGGGCTGTACTTCGGCTTCGACAAGCCGTGGAGTGAATTGCGCGTTGGAGTCTACTCAGATGCGAGCTGGACTAGCCGACCTGACGGAAGTTCCCAAGGAGGCTATCAGATCTTCGTCGGACCCGAGGACGAGCTCAACGCCGGCACCCCGACGCCGTTCGTGGCCATGGAGTGGGCCTCGAAGAAGCTGGTGCGACTGTGCAGGAGCTCATTGTCCGCCGAGGCGCAGGCCGCGGCGATGGGAGCCGACTCGCCGATGTGGGTGAAGGTTTTTTTGGCCCTGAGTCTGAGGCCCGACCTCGCACACGACGCCGCCATGACATACCTCGGAGAGTCGCCGTTCATCACAGACGCTAAGTGCCTCCACGACGCCTCGCGGTCAGCTACGGCGGGATTGGGCATCGCGGAGAAGAGGGCGGCCATCGAGGTGAAGATCGTGAACGAGCAGCTGGCGGAGGTCAACGCTAGGTGGAAATGGGTGAACACCCAGCAGCAGATGGCGGACGGACTCACCAAGCTTTCGGCACGCCAGATGATGGCAGATGTGTTACGCCGTGGAGTTCATGCCTTGCGCTACGACCCCGACTTCGTGGCCGGCAAGAAGCTCACCAAGCGCGCGATGGAGCAATGCGAGAAGGAGCTGGACCAGGCAGGAGAAGAGTTGCTCGACACCTTCGAGAAGGAGCCCGTGGCGAAGGCGAAGGCCAAGGCCAAGACGCGCCATTTTGGCGCGAGTGGAGCTCGTTTGGCAGCTACGTTGGCGGCTACTGGAGCGACAGGCTCTGGAGCTGAGTTGGTGCAGTGTACGCCCAGCGGCGTCGAGCTGTTCAACCCACCGACCAACGACGACTGGAACAACCTGCTGGTGAAGCTGGCCATGTTCGGACTCATGATGGCGATGCTCGTGGCTTTTGGCTGTGGGTTCTCGGTCGGCACCTGCTGGACACGCTGGACTAACACGGACCCGGAGCAGAAAAGCATCAAGCCGCTGGAGCCGGAGACCGAGCCGAACCCCAGCAAGACGGAGAAGCGCTACGCCGAGGTGACCGAGATGATGACGACAGGTGTGAACATCAAGCGACCTCGCCAGAAGAAAGTGCGCCACATGATGTGCCAGTCTCAGTGCCGCTACAACCAGGACGTGCAGACGCCGAGGTTCCAGCCGCTGCCCCAGTACGCACATGGAGCTTTTGTCGGATAGAGGGAGACGACGGGGACCCAGCCTATGGCGGCGTGGCGGCGCTGCCGCAGGAGCTGATGTGCATCGATATGCACACCTTGATGAGCGCCCACGAGGCGCGGACTTGCTTGCCTGGCGAGATCGACCGATCGCCCGGCGTGCTGTAATAATTAAGGAGATGTATGTCGCTGACGCGACCGCCGGTATGTTTCACATTCGAGTCTGACTGGCTTGTGCAGGGGACCTGCGGTGACAGTGATGTTTTATGTGTGTTTTGTTTCGGTCTCGTTCCCGAAAGCTGGGAGTTTTCAGCTTCAGTTTGAGTCTCCTGGTAAACGTCCGGAGCGCCCTGAGTTTAGGCAGTGTGATTTCTAGCGTATATGTGCTAACTCCTTTTTCCGCCCGTGTCAATATCACCCATGTTTTATTGAGTTTATCGTTTGTGTATGCATTGTCAGTTGGATGTTTTTAGTACAGTTTACGATTATTGTTGTACCGCTGCCGTTTGATGTTCAGGGGGCCCTGAGTCACAGGAAAAGGTTGCGTATCCTTTACCAGATTATCAAGATAATCGAATCACTTACACACCCGGGACAGACTTTGTGTGCTGCCATCGGTTGAGAGCCTCCGCCCTCGCGTCTTCCGCTCTCCCCTCCCGCCTCCTGCCCCTCGTCGGAAAGAAGCGGCATGCGCATGAACAGTCGTAGGTCCAGGCGGGCTGCATGTTGAAAGTTGCCCGTCGGTGCAATCATGTTCGGCAGCTTTGAAGATAGATGTGCTCAGCGGCGCAGTCAGAGCCAAGTTTAGAGAAGGAGCCACCATCCTTCCGCGCAGTGTTTGGAACCGCCGGGCTTCAATTCTGGGCTGCTGCATTTTGAGGAAGTCTCAGGCGGAACGCCCGGCCCGCCCTTCTGGCACGTCTGGGGAAGAGGGGCCATTTATCGAGAAGAGGGGTGGAAGGGGGTTGACGCGTTTGGTTTTGGGGGGGCCTCCTGGGTAGCAGTCGTTGCCATCGCTTGCTGCAGCTCGAACATCTCACGGGCAAGAAGTCTTGCAGTGGCATGCCGCAGTGGCGGCCCCGGCGGCGCGCCACGCCGTGCAAACCGGTAGCACATGTCGCTCCGCGCGGCGGGATGGGAGGCCGGGGACAGCTCGGGACGTTGCTTGACGGCATGGGGGCGGAGCCGCGGTTACGGGGGGGGCGTTGGGTTCGGGGCTCACGCGGCAGCAAGGGCTCGACTCTTCGTGGACAGCTGAACCCAGAGATCCGGCGCTCCAAGAGAGTTGGAGCGGCGGGATTTGGGCAGTTTTCGGCCTCCGGGGGCCTTCGCCGGGCTTCGGGAGCGTTAACAAAAACGACTCAGGACGAAAAACCGGCCCCGGGGAGGTGGTCTGGACCTCCGGGGCCCACGCAAAGTCCCAGGAGGCGCCAGACCTTGGAGGATTCCTTGTCCAATGAAGGCGGTGGTGATGTCCATGGCCGATCCACGACTGGGGTTCCACTGGCTTCCAGACCCTGGATTCCTTATCTAGGGGTTCCTTATCCAATGCCCACACCGTAGCGCGAAGCGCCGAGGCGTGGTGGGCCAGAGTCGGCAACGCGACACGCTGAGCAGCAGTTCCTGATCGTAGCCTGGACGAGGTTTCGGAGGGGTCCGAGCATGTGACTCGGAGGGAGTCTGACGGGCTGACGAGACCTCCAGGCGTCGCGAGAGAAAGAGTACCCGCGAAGGGAAAATTGCTCCGGGGAGACGTCGAGCCAGCGCCACTACAGGATCATGACGTCTGAAGCTTGGCAGAAAAACGAGCAGAGGGAGGAGGAGAGGAGGGATTAGAGTCGGCACCAATTGTTGAATCAGATTGTCCGCCTCCATCTTCTCCCTGAAAGGAGAAAATGGTCCTGCTTTGTGGGCCTCCTTGGGGGGTAGGGCGTATCGTAATGACGAATTCCCCATCCCGAACAACACAGGACGGGCATTTATTTCAAGATTTCGTCGTCTGGGTACCGCTCGGGACCATCGAACAAACAGCAAGAGCTCGGCGACGACCTGGGGGGTTTGGAAGCTTTCTTCAGAGGTTTCCAGAGGCTTCGGGAAGGCTTCTGGAAATGTCCGAATCAGGGCACTGCGAGCCAGGATGCTGTCAGATCCAGCGGCAGTTAACGAAGCATGGAGGGGAGCGGCACACGGCTGCTCAAGTTTTCTCGGGCGTGCCAGCGTCTTGTTCTACCACGCAGTCCCTGGCTACGGGGGCATGACGGGGGGGGGTCTTCTGAGTGTCTGGCGGTTCTCGGACGTCGTTAGATGAGGCGGATGATGAGAAGCAGCAGCAGCATGAGAAGCAGGAGGAGTAACGAGAAGACAAAAGAGGAGGAAGAGGAGGAGGAGGCAGGAGGAGGAAGAGGAGGAAGAAGAAAAAGAAAAAGAGGAGGGAGAGAAACGAAGAGGAAGTCGGGGCTCAATGTTGTCGAACGTGCGGTCACGAGCTCGTCAGCGAAATTGTGG